TGATGGTGATGGAAAACAGGACTGAAAGAGTGTGCTGAGCAGCGGTTAACAGTGCTCCTTTACGAGGAAGGGAGAGAGTAGCTGGAGTGAGAAAGTGGGATGCCAATGCTAAAGCATAAAAATAGACTTGCTGAAACCTTCCATGGCAGTAATAAGTAGCACTTAAAAGATGGTGGCAGTGATATGTGGCATCTCATGTAGGTTGGGGCTTATAGGCTGTCTGGGGGAGGATTAACTACGCAGGTAGGAGCTTAGTATAAATTATATATGGGGGGAGGGATAGCTCAGTGGTTTGAGCATTGGCCTGCTAAACCCAGGGTTGTGAGTTCAGTCCTTGAGGGGGCCGTTTAGGGATCTGGGCCAAAAATTGGGGATTGGTCTTGCTTTGAGCAGGGGGTTGGACTAGATGACCTCCTGAGGTCCCTTCCAACCTTGATATTCTATGATTCTATGAAAAGTACACTGTCAATCAAACATCTAGCAGGGGTATTTGAAGCTCTTTATTCCTTCTCTTATCCTCTCCCATGGGCTTCACCCCCACTATCCGCTTTTTCTTGCGGAAAGCGTTTGTGTGTAGAAGGCAAACTACTGTTCCCATTGTAATTTCAAGCAAAATTCAATATCAAACTTTGTTAAACCAGTGCTCAATCTGGCTTAATCTGTAAACGCCAGGTGGGGCACAGAGTTCCTATTGAAGGAAGGAAATACACAAATGATAGAAGTACCCTCAGGAGGAACCCTTTCTTGTGGGATATAAACACTTGCTAACACAGAAATTCTCCATGCGGCTATGTTTCACAATCTGGCTGGCCAGTAATACCAAAGCCTACTTGTGGGCAGCAGAAAGCCCTCTTCCTCTTTTGGTATCTATAGCGGTCCCAGGCAAATGCAGGGTATTCACCCTCTCCAAATAAAATATGAAAAGGACTGAAGCAAAACTGTGAAACTTTCAGATGAAATAAAAACAGGAATGTTTTGGAACAGCTGTGGAAAAATGCACAAAGGCACTTTTTGAATAAATTCACTATACTTCTGATTTCATTTCCTCCTGTTCTCTGTTCTTTTCCTATATCCTATTTCTTTGCATCAGAAGTACAAGCTTGTGTCCCCCAATGCAGTGGTAAATCTTTTTCACGTTATCACCCTCTGGAAAACCCTATTTAAAATAAAGGAGTTGGTCAGCTTCAAACATGTTTTTATCAAAGCTCTTTTTTGTGGCTTTGATTCAATTATTTATCTGAATAAAAGAATCCAGTCCTACTCCTGAGCCTCAGTTTCCTTGTATTTGGTCATTCTGTTTGAAATGTACTCCTAGTCGTCTTCACCTCTGTACATCTAACTTTGCTTCCTGTGTGTGATATTCACTGGTTGCTGTTAAGGTGTTGATATTTAGGGTATATAGAATTTTTTTTCTAAAGTTTAATAGTGTTGTGTTCATTGAGCTTAATAGGTCAAAGCAGTCAATTATCATAGGGCTTATATTTCCCAATAGGGGAAAAAAGATTAGAGATTATTTCTTTAGATAAACTTACATCTAGCCAAATTTCTATGACAAAAGCCTGTAGAAAATGTGAAGAGGACTTCCTAAGAGTAAAGTTCCCCTTTCAAGTCTTGACATTTTTGAAAGTTGACACTTGTGTAGTCCAAGTTGTTACAGAAAGAACAGATGTACAATATCTTTACAAAGAGACTTCATTGAATATGAGCAGACAACAATAGGTGGTAATCTTATAAGGGCAACCTTTAAAGTTTCAGTTTAGTTCAAGGTATGTGTTTATTTTTGGGGAAGAAATAAAAAGTAAATGAATAAAAAATACCACCTAATATTACACTGTACTAAAGTGCAGTTGTACACTATTCATTTGAAACCTTTATTGGCCTGTATGAAATGAAAACTGAGGAAGAATAAAGAAAAGAAGATAGTGACACAGAAGGAAGAGGAGGAAGGAGAGGTTTCAAAGTAAGAGGACCCATAGATCTGTGTGGTGAAAACAATAAAATGTGATCATGTATATTTTTACGTGAGAAATGTCTTCCAAGGTCTCCTGGGATTGGTAGCACAAGTCCAGGTTGCTTCTTCTATAGAGGGTGACCTTCTTCTGCTTATAATGGTAGATGCTAAATCTGTTACCAGGAATACAGTGGTTCCCTGATTGATTTAGCTTCACAGATGTGAAAACCATGGCTAGAACTTGAGCAGAGTCCACCAGAAATGGATGAAAGGGCTCCAAATTGTAGCCCAATATTATCTGTTTAAGGGCTATATCCTAGGCTGACGTGCTTTGTTGAATTAGGGCTGTAGCGCTCAGAATCTTATAGGATCAAGCCCTACGTGAATAGTTGTATTTGCTTCAGACTGCTCAAGGGAAAATGAAATGACTATCCATTTCTGGGCTGATATATTTGAGATGAAGATAACAATTATGGAAGTACATTTCTTTAACGACTAAAAGTTTAAAGATGAATTATGACCTGGGTGATTTAAATGATTCTTGTATGCAAAATTATCTGCTGCTTGTACACAGCAACAGAATAAAAAGCTCTGATTTTTATAATGTCTTTTTGAAGTCTTATCCAGACAGGTTCTCTGTGTATATAAATCTCCCCACTGTATTTTCCACTGAATGCATCCAATGAAGTGAGCTGTAGCTCACGAAAGCTTATGCTCAAATAAATTTGTTAATCTCTAAGGTTCCACAAGTACTCCTTTTCTTTTTGCCAGATCATCTAGTACCTGTATTTCAATATTTTAGAACAGAATACACCAAGCTAGTCCTGGGAGAATATATGCGCATTGCTTATTTTTGTCCCTTAACCAACTGGATAGTTAACTGTTGCGTAATGCATTTTGAACTCTGTGCTGCCCCTGTAGTTGAAAATATAGGCCTGTACCTTTCTTGATACATCTCACAAATCTTTAGTCATGTTCTCCTAGATTAAAAATAAATTGGCCAAATGTTCGCTTAATTTGGAGATGAGCTCCCTCTACAAACTTTAAAACAAGCCCCAAATGCAGCCAAGAATAACATTTAATTCTAATGTAATATTCCTTTGAGAATATTTCCACCACAGTCGAGGTCCTTGAAATTGATGGGCTTTAAAAAAGGCTAATGCGAGGAGAGAGTGAGGACAAATCTCTTTAGCAGAGGCCTTTGATATTAATTTAAATTTTATGTATGAATGTCTTTCTAGGCCTGTATCTGAGATTGTTATCAGTAATGCATATGTGGAGCTATAGTTTTTTGTTTTTTTGGGGTATCAGCCAGGCAAGTGGAAGGATTTCAATAAATAAATACATTAAAATTAAATAAATAATAAAGGATTTTATGGTCTCCCTTATCTAGAAATTCCCCACTTCTTATCAAGAAACCAGCAAAGCACTGTTTGTGGAAATTTCCAACTTTAAATTGTACAGGTAATTTCTCAAATAAGAAAGAAATAGGAAAGTGTGTGCATTGTATGCAGTGACACTTTCTTCTCTTCTGTCATGCATTTGTTTTGCTTCACACTATGTAAAAGCAAATGCTACTTGTCCTATAAAGTTGGTCGGTGCAGCAGTCTTGATCAGAGGCTAGTTTTGGTAAGCATGTCACTAAGTTCAGTCACGTTAACCAAGATGAAAATATTTAATGGTAAGTAACATCCTCCGACCCAACCTTAAAGAGCAAGTTTAATAACTCTGCTTCTACTTCAGGGAAAAGATGTTAGAGCTGTGAATATTTTGTGGGTATCAGAAAAAACTAGTATGCCTCGGGGATAACACATCGTGTAATGAATCTAAAGAATTCTCCCAAGCCTCCATTACGCTTGGCACAGTAATGAAAATGGTAAATCTTTTACAGGATCCTAATTGATAAAGGTTTTGAGTAAGATGGTAAAAACTATATAACTCTCACAATAAGGAGTGAGGGGAAAAAGAAGAATCTCAGCTGTCTGACTTCTACACAGTACTTGTTGCAAATTTTAGACGGTAGGTGAAGGATAACATGGCAGAGAAATGGTTAAATCCCCTGTTCATTAACTGGTCTAATATTTGGATTTTTTTGGAAGTTGTAGAATTTTTTTTTAAGAAAGTAACTTTTGATGGGGATGGAGTATGGTGAACTCTACTGAAGTACACTTTTTAATTTTATCTCTAACAGTTTTTTGTTTAGGAATTTAAATTGGGTGGAGGTATACGGCTAAAAGGAGGGAAGCCTTGTCCTAACAGATCTTACAAGGCCTACCAAAGTGGGGCTCCCCTCCTGCAGTCTTTGGACAGTACACAAGAGAGGTTAGGGTGATGGGAGTTGTATATGGATGGAATATAGGCTGTGTAGAAGGAGGACAGGAGAGGCAGATCTTTATCCATTTGAGAGACTTCAAGCAGTGACACCCCGATTCAGCAAAATACTTCAGCATATGCCTATTTTTAAGCATGTGAGTACTTCCATAACTAGCCAATATAATTCTCAAGTTATATGTTTCTCCATATTGATATTTGACCACTGAAATGGCAGAGAGCTGAAAAAGTATTCTGTTTAGGATTAGAATGCAATTAAGCACTCTTTTTTTTTCTGCAAAATTATTGTAAACAATATTTGCAAAAGCACACTAGAAGAAAACTTGGAGGAGCAAAGCATGACTGAACTGTCTAGTTTTTAACCCTGACAGCTTGGGGACCAGCACTTCTGAGAAACTACTAAATGCTGGGAAGGCATTCCTAGTGCTGGAATGCAAGTCAACATGTCATATATTTCACATTCTCTTCTAGAGTTCCATTATCCAATAATGACACTACAGAATGGTACAAAATATATTTTCCCAGGTTCGGACCATAACTATGGGGCCGTTTTGACATTTTAACCTATCAGTATAATAAAGCTACAGTGATGATTAAACTTACTATACTGATTAAGCGTCTTATAATTACAAGTCAAATTATATCTAAAGTCAGTTTTGTTATGTACTCTGCTAACTTGTTGTTTTTCAATGTTTCTTCTTTCTGTTTCTTTCTGTAGAAAGGAAATTATGCTCCAGTGATTTAAACACAGGACTAGGAGTCCAGTGATGTGGATTTTATCCTATCTGTTCCATAGAATTACTGTGAGACCATAACTTTTATACCTCACTTTTCATCTTCAAAATTAGGATATTTATATACTTAACTATGGTGGTCAGAATTATTTCCATTGGTGTTATGTAAAATGCTTTGCTATCTTCTAATGGAATATACTCTAGAAGTGCAAGATGTTATGATTATTTTAATATAGATAAACCTAGTATATATGAATCTGACATACTTGAATTTATTGCAAGATTATTTGTTTAAATGCAAAATACAGAACTCTGATTCATCTGTTATCACTGATCCAAATATTTAAGTTGTGAATACAGTAACTCCTCACTTAACGTTGTAGTTATGTTCCTGAAAAATGCGGCTTCAAGTGAAACCAAGTTAAGTGAATCCAATTTCCCCATAAGAATGAATGTAAATGTGGGGGTTAGGTTCCAGGGTATTTTTTTTTTTTGGCAGTACAGTACTATAGTCAAGAGGTGCCACCACCTTACCCCACCCAGGCACAGCCCACTGGAACTGGACACAATGAGGCAGGCAAGGAGGCTGAAGGTGCCGTAGGCTAGGAGAAGCACGTTGCGCAGCAGCAGCGGCAGCTTCCCATACTCTGCAAGCACCAGGGGTGGGGGGCTCAACCCTTGGCCTGCCCGCTCCACCCCTTTCCCCAACCCCCCACCCTTAACTCGCCTTGTCTTCCCTCCCTTCTCCCCCTTTTACTCCGCACGCCACGTCCTCTCTCCTCCGTCCTGCCCACAGCAATCAGCTGGCTTGCGGTGTTCAGGAGAAACGGGGGAGGAGCAAGGACATGGCGCGCAGGCTCTCCCTCCCTCCCCTGCCTCCTGGCCGTGACAAGCTGTGTTGAGGAGGGAGAGGGGAGGCGTGCTGCATCCTCGCTCCTCCCTCCTGCCCTCGGCAATCAGCTGGCTTGCAATGTTCAGGGGGAAGGAGGGTGGAAGGAGGAGCAAGGACTCGGCGCCCAGCCTCCCCCCCTCCTTCCCCTGCCTCCTGCCCGTGGCAATCCGATGGTTTGAGGTGTTAGGGAGTCAGGGGAGGGATGGGGAGCCTGCACGCCAAGTCCTTGCACCTCCCCCCTCCCTCTTGAATACCACAAGCCAGCTGATTGCTGTGGGCAGGAGGAGGGGGAAGGCGCTGGTCCGTGGGGTCTGCTGGTGGGCGGAAGGCGCTGGGGGGGGGGGGGCGTAGAGGAGCTGATGGGGGGCTGCCAGCTGTGGACAAAACAGGCAGCCAAACGATGTTATAGCGAAGCATTGCACAACTTTAAATGGAGCATGTTCTGTAATTGAGCAGGGACGTAAGATTGAAACAATGTTAAGTGAGAGGACGTTAAGTGGGGAGTTACTGTAAATATACTGTAAAGCATGCATAAGTATATGCTTAGTTTTAGTTGTAATTGATATATATTGGGTGAGACCCTCACTCCTTTCCAGCCCCTTTATGTTAGGTAAAAGGTCTGGAGCAGTGTAAAGGGCCCTAAAAGCCAGGTTTTGGTTGGGATAGTCATCGGCCTACCTTCTAAAACAGTGGGTATGCAGAGGTCTTCCAGGGGGTATATCAGCTCATCTAAATTGTTTTACAACAGGCTACATAAAAAGCACTAGCGAAGTCCGTACAAACTAAAATTTCATACAGACAATAACATGTTTATACTGTTCTATGTACTATACACTGAAATGTAAGTATAATATTGATATTCCAATCCATTTATTTTTTATAATTATATGGTAAAAATGAGAATGTAAGCAATTTTTCAGTTATAATGTGCTGTTACGCTTTTGTATTTTTGTCTGATTTTGTAAGCAAGTAGTTTTTAAATGAGGTGAAATTTGGGGGTATGCAAGAGAAATCAGTCTCCTGAAAGGGGTACAGTAGTCTGGAAAGGTTGAGAGCGAGTGGTCTAAGACACCCTTGAAGAAATGGCATAGGGAGTATGTTGAGGGCAGGGCCCAGCATACAGTATTGCAGAGATTCTGGGTAGCATTGCAACCCATGGAGCAACACAGGAAGCTGCTGTAATTTAGACAGCACTAGGAGTCTAAATTTCATAGTCTATAAATTATAAGGTCCGAAGGCATCACTGTGATCTCCTGTTAAATTATGCCGGAGGCTTCTCCAGTCCCTGGAATAGCCCAGAATCAGGAGGGTGCATAGAGGGCTTGAAGCCACCATAGCTGTGCCCTTCTCCTGGGTTGTGAGTTCTGTGCTGTATCTCTGAGACGCAGCATAGAGTTGCATGCATTATTTCTGGCAAGATTCCTGGGGATGACTTGTTAAATGTGTTGATGTATCTTTTGCTTTGCTGGTGTGTGTTACACATTTGTGTTTAAAGACACTAAAACTGGTTTTCTTTTCACAATGACTTCTCAAGTTTTAGTGGTTTTAGATCTAAGCCAACTAGACAGCACCATTCTGCAACGAATGGCAGAGCTCTCTTGGCGGAAGGAGAGCCCCATCATTCCCATCCTGCATTGCAAACAATTCTTGGTCATTCTTTCCACTGGTAGCCACGTAGTCTGTGGACTTCCAGCCACTCTAGAATGTAATTTTCCAGGGCTGCTGTTGACAGAGGAAATTATTTGGTTTGAGGTTTACCTCTGGGCTATAATTAGTCTCTTCTGATTTTTGTTTGTATTTTTATATCTGTGTGGAAGGAACTCCCCATCACCAAGTTTCAGAGGCTACTAAGTATGGGGAGTTCTGATATATGGTCATGGGCCTACCTCATACCCCAGTCATTTTAGAGATTTCATTGAAGAGGGCTTCCACTTCCTTTACTGCTTGACCTTCTGAAACATCAGAGTCCTGCTTGACTATAGGCCCTATATAATTTAATAATAATAAAAAAAAAATCTTTCCCAACTGAGCAGTAAGCCAAGGAAGAAACGTCTATCCCATTTTTGGATGTCAGAACTCACTGAACATTATCATCTTTTATTATTTGTAGCAATGAGGAGCCCCAGTCATGACCAGGACCCCATTGTGCTAGGCACTATACAAACACAGAACAAAAAGACAGTCTCTGCTTCAAAGAGCTGGTTGTTTTCATGGGAGTAACTTCAGGAGGACTTCCAAGAGCCCAATTCACACACAACACCACTGGGAAAGAAATGGCCACAGATTACCTAATTCGACATTTTGTGCCTGCTGGATAGTGGATACCTCTTGTTCTTGTTGTTATCCAGCTACTGAACTTTAATTGGCTGACAGCTGAAGAAGTTGATTTTTTTGGCACAGTTGGTCTGTAAAAAACATGCTCCATCTGCATTAAATGTTCCTAGAAAAATACATTACAAAGCATGTTGGAGAGGAAACTAAATGTATATGTTTTGGTTATGTAATAACAAGCTGTGCTTTTTAAATTAGTGTATGCCTTATACAAAGAATAATCTTTGGCTTTTTTACTATAGTGTGTGGATTTTTTTTCTGCAGTGTTAAAGAACCACTATTAAAGCTTCCTATGAAATAAGACATACTCATTTTTTCTTAGTTTAAGAAGTTCTAAATGAACTTGAGCTTAAATGTTTTCTAGTGTGTATTCAACTGTACAGACTGCAGTTGTCAAATCACAGCTAGATGTGCAATGTGATGAACTCCAAGGAAATAGTTTTCTCTCTAGTTATTTAATTATACCAAGTCCTCTTTGCACCTGTTTCTTTTTTAGGGGCGAGAGAGATGCTCTGAGCAATTACTACCTATCACATCAGTAGTTGACGTTTGTCTCCAATGCTCATTTTGAAAAAGTACAACTTTGCAAGACTTTTTAAAGACATACTTCCTGTTTGTACAGTTGTTGGATGAAGGTTGTTTGCCGGCATGAAAATGTCTGAATAGTAAATTATTGCAGTTCGCCCAGACTTCACATTCATGACCAGTTGGTTTGAAGGTGCAAACACACTTTTTTTGCTTTGCGGTTAACCTTTTAAGAGCCTCTAGTTTATTCAGCGTGTGGAATGGTATACACATGTTCCTGCATTAGAACTACTACTATTAAATTGAAATAGGATCTGTACTACCTTGTGAGAAAAATGTGCTTCGCATTCTGAATGTATGGTTTCAGAGGAACAGCCGTGTTAGTCTGTATTCGCAAAAAGAAAAGGAGTACTTGTGGCACCTTAGAGACTAACCAATTTATTTGAGCATGAGCTTTCGTGAGCCACAGCTCACTTCATGTAGTGAGTTGAGTACACGTAGTCAATAAAAGCCCAGCTGAAATATTTGACCTTTTTACCATTGAAACTTTAATCAGAACACAAATCATCTTTACTCTTTTTTTTTTAACTTGGTTAGTTGCACTTAACTTCTAATATTTACAAACTCTTGTCTGTCATGAAAAATCTGAATAATTCAGTTCTGTACTTTCACCGATTTTTACTATCCTATATTGAAGCCTGGATGCAAATTTCTCAAATATCCCTTATTTTGAAGGGTGTCACTCGTTTTAGTCCCGGTAACCTACATTCTTCACAAATTTGGTCCCTTCACTTTTATTGTTGACAGCTGTTTAAATTAGAAACAAGAATTGTGAAACTGAGATAACAATTTATAATGTTGGGTTGAATCCTACAGCATTTTAAGTTTCCTCCGCTCTTGATTGTTTTTTGTTTGTGTCCCTAATTTTGACATTAAATTTGTCATTCTTTGTGTCCCATTTTTGGGCAGTGGCAGTTTGGGAGGTATGCCTGCATAGTTTACACTCTAGAATATTTTAAGCAGGCTCTTCGTAAGGAGCTGGCAAATCTGTTTGTTCAGCCAGTCTCTTAATTCTGATAGTGTGTGTGCACAATATAGCCATCAATTTCACGATCACATACCAGTTATCAAATAACACAATATGTTTTCTCCAACCATAGATGCATGAAGCATTTTGCATCTTTTCCTGCCTGCGTATTTACACAATTTTTATTATCATAGTAGCCCACTATCTTTCATGTAGACTTTTAAAACTCTCCTCTCTGAAGTGTGCATTTCAAGAATTGAGTCACAAATCTTCAAATACTTATGCACATGCTTA